TGTTCAACATATAGAGATTATATTATGAGGTTATTACGAGGATACCTTAAAGTATGCACAAAGACAGTACAACAGGAGTATCGATTGACACGCAGTGGAGGTCGATGCAATGGTGTACTGTCTGAGTGCATACTTTGATGTATCCTCATAATAACCTTATTATTATACATCTTTTCCTCCCAATGATACATCATGGGAATGCCAAAATCCAAAATATTTTGAACAGAATCAGTGAAATTCTTTGTGTGGAGTCCAGTCAAACCTTGATGGCAGCCATGTTTGTTTTTTTATTATTAGAGGACGCTTATGCGCGTAATCATTCCATATTTGGAATTCGCATTTCCTAATATGGTAGGATGAAAATTTATTATATAAAAACCATCCTCATTATCTTATTATATGCATCTCATACCTTGGTCCATCCTTTCATATTAAGGTAGGTATCTTGTACATTATCCACACTCAACACCCCGGTGTAAAATGAGGCAACTTCCAAAGACGCTGATGGCTTGTACTTCATACCATAGTAATTTTTTTTTCTCATGAAGTTACCAGGATTGACTACAAGATCCATGTCCAAGGAGTAGATGGACCAGGACTGTATTGTGACATTCGCCAGTGTAGCATTACCGACTATTCCCTGTGAAATTAAAAACATACTTATCGGTGACCAACTGGAACACATTGGATTATGTTTGCTGCCACTAGGTGGCGCCATACTTTGAATTCACTTTTGCATGGATCATTTAGGCTAAATTACGAATAACGCTCCCACATGTTTTGGAATTCCAATAAACTGAAAAGTAGGAGGGTGGGTAAGTGGTGGGCAAAATGTTGCTCACAAATTCAGATAAGGTGTCAAATACGATGAGCAAACATTTTCTCTTGAAACAGCTTAGGGGGGGGGTTGACCATTTGATATTGTAGAGAGATTATTTAACATTTCTTTTTTTTTAATACACATGTAGCTCTACATCACAGAACGTTCTATGTTGCCAAGACACGCACCACTGCACCATGTATTTCTATAGCTCTGCACGAGCTGCTGCTGTGGAATGCCAGTCAAAGAGCCAGTGAAAAAGGTTAAAGCCAAGGAAAACAGCACAAAATCAACTTTGAAGTAATCCTGAGCAACCGAATGTATATGCGTTACACATGTAAGCATAATCTTGTTACACTGTTCAGGGGAGTCTCAACAACCATTCCAAAGTACCATTTTCTGAAAGTTTTCGGCTTTTGTTTTCACCGTGATGGTTGCCAGGCAGTGAAAATGCCTGGATGTCCACCCCGAGGATATGTATTTTCTGCAACACTCACTGACTTTAATTATAAATATTTATAGCATCTGACACTTCTATTTCAAAGGAATTATTCTCGTTTTTTGAATAGTTGCTCAGAATCACAATTACCATATATATCCCATCAACTACACTTTTTTATATTATAAAACACAACTAGCGAAACTATGGTTCAAAGTATATGTTCATGCAACCAGTTTGTTCTGACTCTCCCTGCTACCACTAGGTGGCACTATACTGATATTTAATATACAGTATTAAGCATTTTTTGTCAATGATATGGCCACATGTTTAATTTTAACCAATTGAAGGGTAGATGAAATCTATATTCAAACAAAACCATGGTTCAAAGTAAATATTTATTTCAAAGTAAATATTCATGCAACCTATTTCTTGAACCATGGTACATTTTCTGGTGAACTATACAGGTTTGCAAGATATAGACAAAAACAACTCTCTCTACCTTGGAATCATTGATGTACTTTCCATAATTTATTCGTCCCTGGTTTTCAATAAGAATATCTAAAATATCTCCTTTCTTTGCTGTGATGTTGAGAGAGGTGTTGAGATTAGGATCATAAGTCATTCTCGATAAAATACCCAATACAGTCTGCAATATAAATAAATGAGATGGATAAATCTTAACGGCGGCCATGTTTTTTTTTTGACATGTGGTACATTGTTTTCTGTGAGCTGTTGTTGTATGTGTTTTCTATGGAGAGTGGCCATGTTTATTGGAGCTATCCACCCAGAAGTGGAGCAATGTTTTGATTAGAGCGCCCTCACAAGGTCATAAATATGGGCAATTACCATATGTGTAAATTCCATTATTGGATGTGCAATCAATCAATCAAAGTTAAACTGTAAATAGCTCCCATGTGATCAGAGCCTGTATTATAAAGGTATAGGTTTTGCCTAATAAGTGTAATTGCATGTAGGTCAATCCATCAATAAAATTGATCAAGATGTCTGAGAATCTATGACATACTGTATATGGAAACACATGACTTTGATATGGGCATTTTGAAAAACATGCAAGGACACTATACTTGTAAACAAAGGGCACTAATGAGCACTCTATGAATGAGGTATTTCTAGTCTGCAGTTAATTAAATAATAATTTTTGCTTTGATTTTCTTATGGATTTTTTTCCCAATGCGACTTAATTTCACTTGTTTTTTTTAATTCTTGGTAATTAGTGTCATTAGCGATGGAGTAGTAAAACCGCAATTAACCTCTTCCTGACGCAATGCGCAAATTTCACTATTTTCACTGACAAGTAAAATCTGCTAAATTAAACCTAAATTAAACAGATTGTTTCCTTGACAGTTTCTTGAAATTAAATCATCAAAATAGTACAACTAAAAAGTCTGTACAACATACCTAGAACAGATAAATAAAAACATAGTTTAATGATCGTCCGGACTTTGAGCCCTTGAAAGTAAGTGATCCAGCCCTTACATACGCCAACGATTGAAATTTGTTTAATTGCTATCAAATTATCGCTCGAAAAAAAAAATTTCATTTGTGAGACGTGCTTTTGATACAAACCAAAGATCGCGATTGACCCTACACAAAACTACCGCCATTTTGTCCTCCTTGTCCTCGTTCGTCAAAAACAAAAAACTCACATATTTACTATTTGTTTAATGAGTGCATTTTTGTTTACAAATATCAAACAAGAATAAACAGTAAAATAGGAATCAACTGCTTCGTTTTATTGAGTAAGATGGAAACCATGCGAAAACAAATGTGAAACATTACTGTCTGCTCGAAGAGAAGACACTGGGAGTCATGTGCAAAGAGATTGTTTACAAATTAGATCACATTGGAAGTGCTTTCAGTCACATTGGCAGAGCTCCAGAAGGAGTACCTACACTTTATGCAAATTTTTTTTAATTTATTCATGACTTAGCAGTTTCTGTGCTCATGAATATTCATTAATTTGTGGGTCAATACATTTTAAAAGGGGCGATATATTATTTTTGGGGGAAGAGTTAGAAAGGGGGATTAGCAATCCTTAGGGGGTCAATACAAAAGAAGGGACCCATTTGGAGAGCAGCCATGCTCCTCGTGTCTGTTGTTGCACGTGACCTACAGCTGTCAACTGTGTTCGTTCTTCGACTGTGTTCGTTCTTCGACGACTTCGACTGGCTTCCATGTGGGGTAGTATTCTTGTGTTCTGTTTTCCTGACTTGAGTTTTTGAATCCGCTGTTTATGTTTTTTTCATGTCTTTTGTAGGAGTGTCCAATCCGTGATTCGAACTTGCGATCTTTGAGTTCCCAGTCTTGTCCACTGTACCACGAGTGTCTTCACACAGGAGTTAGGATTTAAGTCCTATTCATAGGAGCACTGTCTTCACTAGCATTCAAAAATCTAACTAAACATACTGGATTCGAACCAGCGATCGCTCACATTTCTGACATTGTACAAATCAACTGAGCTATGTGGGTAGTCATGCAAATTAAATAATTTGTTGTCATATTTAGCTTTATTGCCAAATGGTGTTTGCGAGAAAA